CTGGTCTGGAAAAGATAAAGAAAGGAGCATTAGTATGTTTTATGACATGACTATATGGCCATTTCCAAGTTCTGCTGGTCTGGAGAAGATAAAGAAAGGAGCATTAGTATGTTTTATGACATGACTATATGGCCATTTCCAAGTTCTGCTGGTCTGGAGAAGATAAAGAAAGGAGCATTAGTATGTTTTATGACATGACTGTATGCTTTTCCTTGATGGAAATGTACTTAAAATGTTGCTTATATACTATTAAGCATGACATTACTATGTAAAAACAACAAAGGTAATAAACTCTCTGATCATATACAAAATATATAAATGTTACACTTCAAAATACAATTAAGGATAACTGAAATTTATAATATTATAGCTATGGTAACAATAAAACCATGTTATAAAATAATGTCATTCAACATTCATTTCACCGTTATGCAAATAAGTCACCAATCATGTTATTTAAATGCAAGTGACTGGTCATTCAGTACATACATATATGTACATGAGCTTGTAAGTTTTTTTTTACTAAAGATTTTCTCATAAATTTTTTCTTTCAGAATGTTGACTATCCAATGTACAAAGTAATTTCTATTTTAAGATTAAAAATACTTTTCCTTATCTGAAAACGTTTTTTTGAATAAAACTTTATACTTAACCTATTATTTTATCGATATTAACTCTAAATGGTGTTGATCGAGTTGACCGACTTCGTAACCATCATAAAAATTAGGAAATAAATCTAAATTACCTTGTTTGTTCTAGATTAACTGCAAATTGTAATAGGAAAACACAAATGTTTATTCTAAATAGCTTAAATCTTGTTACAGTATAAATCTATTTATATTTATTAATTTTTGTTTTATTGACCTTTGAACCGTGTCTGACTAAAAATGTCTCAACAGAAGTTGAAAATTACACGGCACACGTGCACTGATGTGACTTTATCAAACAGCGTAATGTAGAAGCTTCTGGCACATATACTCCATGAAGGTTTTTTATTATTATTTATTATCTTACCTAACAACTTTCTATTTTTATGATTTTAGTTACTTTTATAACAATAAACAGTGAAAACAAATGAAAAATAAAAAACCTCGTAATTAACTATCAAACATTTTTATTTTCAGTAAAGCATTATATTTTATTTATTTTTTGTACCGTAACATTATACTTATTTCTCCAGGTTGTAGGTAAGTAATCAAAGTATAATGAAAATAAAGGTTGTAAAATAAAATGTATTGTTAGTAGTGATTACAAAATTTCAAGGTACTTATGATCAGAGTTTACGCTCTCACCTTTTCACACTTATTTTCTGTAGTTATTTTATTGCTAGTATATGAGTTAGAAACTAGAAGAAACAAAATGAATAGTACTCTGTTTCTTTCAGTACGGACAGTAAAGTTCCAAGTAAATCTCTTGAGAGTTTCTTCTAATCTTTTTACACCTATTTTCTATTGTTATTCTACTGTTAGTGGCTGAAGTAGAAACCTGCTGAATATAAAGCAATGAATCAATGTTCCTGGTTAGGTGTTACTGTACTTTGACATTGTCAATATTAAATAACTTCATGTTGTGCAATTCCCAGAATTTTCTCTGCTTTGAAAACCGAGTGGGATAGGATATATCATCTTGTTGACAGTACAGTGGTTACAATGACAACTGTCTAAAGTATTATAAGATGTTTATAACTATGTAGAAAGTCTGGGACGATCCAATAAGTCAAAAAGCAGAAGTATCCTACAGAAACTATTCGGATTGCTGCTCTGAGAACAATGTTGGAAAGAATTTGCCGGCATCTTTACAACACAGTGGTTGCAACAAGAATTGTCTAAAGTACTTTATAAAAGTGAGGGAAAATATTTATGATATGGCTCAGTACAAAGTATAAAGTTGTATCCTATCCAATAAACTTGCTAGTTATCTTACTTGGTGGTCAGGATTTAGCATTGGTATAGGTGTAAACGTGTGTAAATACCTACAGACATCCTGTTTCCTATAATACCATGCTTACACAGTAACCACTAAATGCGTAATTTCCAGTGATATAAATATGGGTCATTTTGGTTGGGTTAGTATTCTTGGCTTAGCCTTCTTGATTGTAACTTGAGAAACAAATTATTCACCAGCAAACTGCAAGTTCAACAGGGTGTTTATGTAAAGATGTTACTTTTCATGTGTTAAGATCAGTTAATCAGTGACAAATTTATTTCTTAGACTTTCACAAATTACATAAATAAACTTTTCCTGAATTGCAAAGTCTTTAGTTTTGTTTAATTTGTTCTCATCCTACCTCAATGTAAAAAATAACACAAGTTCTTACTTTGTAAAATACAGTAACTTATTGGTTACCATACATTACATATGTATATATATATATAACTAATGTTTTCAAATAAATACTGAAATGTCAGTTATTTTTCTTCACACATAAAACAGTAAATAAAAAATAATTGAAAAACAATGATCTCTATTACTTACGATGCTACAAAGTACTTGTTTGCACTTATGAGCCATACTTGCTAAGCCTTGTCCAAATTCACATGTAGAGATGGAAAAATAATACTTTTTGTGGACTTTTATAAGCATTTTTAAATACAAAATAATTATAAATTACTATACTAATACTGCAAAAATCTACTGTAATTTATCAAGCTTCCTAACTAAATTGTATTTGGGTCTAAAAAAATAATAATTTGTATTCACGGAATAGCCTTGATAGCAATACTTCAAACTTTCCAATGGTATAAGAGCATTTTTCTTGTTAATAACTTAGGAAGACTGACAGAATTATGTAGAATAAATATATAGCTTTTAATTGATTATAAAGTTATTGGTGTATAAAAGTAGGCATAGATAAATAAGTCTTTTTCAAATGATGAAGTAGTGGTCAGAGCCAATATGGTAGTTTTCCTAAATATCATGATATCTCAGCAAATAGAAAAGGTAGGAGGTTCTTATTTTATATTCTAACTTGCCAATATCTAAAATTTGAGTTTCTAATTCATACAAAACTATAGACATTATATTGTGGACGTCATAAAATGTAATCTGACCAAACCCAGAAGGCCACGTATCACGTGACACACAAAAATTGATATTTAGCTATTTTTTTATATTTAGTTTCAAATTAAGAAACTAATTAATGTATAATACTAAAATTTGAATTATAATCTACAATTTGATACCAAATTTATTGACATACGTTTATGAAATAATAGCTAAATAAAATGTTGAATGTAAATTTATAAACGTGATGATACGCACTCTGACTCCTACTCGTCTTGATAGGGTTAAACGCGTGTATACACAAAACCTCAGGCACAAAGTCACATGGCTCAGTAAAAAATTACTTTAAAAGACACGAAGCTTTATTTAAAGCAGTGTTCTAGATATATTTGTTTTATATCAAAAGGCTGCTTTTCTACTGGTAATATTTTATACACAATTAGTGGGGTTTTTTGTCTTACTCTAGGCATATCTAGAAGATACCTTTTCATAATGCATTTCAGACAGCCTGATAAGACATCAGCTCATTATGTGAGTAAGCATTTACAGATCATGCAAGGTCTGACCACTAAACATTAGGACAAAAAAAAAGAATTATCAACAAAATAGCTAGAGACAGAGAATGATCAACAAAATAGCTAGAGACAGAGACTTATCAACAAAATAGCTAGAGACAGAGAATGATCAACAAAATAGCTAGAGACAGAGAATGATCAACAAAATAGCTAGAGACACAGAGAACAGCAAAGAAATATGGTAGAAGTATCTATCTGAACTTGATTTCACAATAAAAAGTTAATTCTTTCTGTATCTTACTTACCATTTTACATTTAACCCTTTCTGTGTCAGGCTTTTTTTTTAAATGAGCTAAAAAAAAGGTCAGTTTATTTATTTCGCTTTTTGATATGGAAAAAAAAAGTTATTTTATGATCTATTATTATATTTCTGCACAAAATATACTCGATGAATAAATGTTACATGCAAATAAAGTAAATTAAAATACAGCAAGAAATGGTTTGTCCAAATTAACATGGCACCGAAGTTACCTTGGGCAAATCACAGAAGGGGTTAAAACAGTTAGTTAAGCCTACGTTGACAAAAGTAATGTAAACATTATCATGAAGCCAAGAGCAAAAACAGTGATGAAAACATAAAATATCATAACACTTTTTAATTTATTCTAATTCTGTCAAAATGTTCTTTAAGTTTAAGTTGAACAAGTACCAATACTTAAAACCACTGTGAAATTATTAATTTTCCCATTGCCAACTTTTTGTACAGTAAATTTTAAATATACTACTTATTTTAATAAATAATTATCTCTACATAGTAATTTAACATTTTCTGGGCTTTGCTGAAAGTGAAAAGGTTTAGAAACAAAATATCACACTTACGTTTTTTTCCATTGATGTGGTCTAGGAAGTTTATAGAATCTTTTACAACACAATCACATACATTGCAATAATATCTGAAAGATAAAAACAAAACAAGAATTAACAAAGCATAGAAGCAGAAAAAAACAAAACAGCACGAGTATAATAGAGTAGGTAATTAGCAATATTTGCTAATCGATTAGTAGAATGTACATCTCCCCACAGACAAATAAAAAAGTAGCCCAAGAGTTGGTAGTTTCTTGTGCCAGCCAGTTACTTTCCCTCTAATCGGCAGTTCAAAATTAGTGACATTGGCAGAATGTGACTTTGCCAAAACAAGGACAGGGCAAGCAATTTTAGTGGCAATGGGAATCAAACCCAATACCTTTGAATTATGAGCCACCCCCCAACTCCCAGGCCATGGTTGGTTCAAAGCTGAAGTAAAGAAATATAATTTATAATGCTAATGTCAGGTTTTGATTCCTGCAGTGGAAATAACCCTTTATGTAGCTTTATGCTTATTTCAGTTTGAATAATCAGAAACCTTATATTTGATTAGTTGAGTATTTTTAGTGCCAAACAATTGAATCAAATTTTCAACTAATCAAAAATAGTAATAATCAGAAACCTTATATTTGATTAGTTGAGTATTTTTAGTGCCAAACAATTGAATCAAATTTTCAACTAATCAAAAATAGTAATAATCAGAAACACTACATTCAATTAGTTGATTATTCTTAGGACAGTTGATTCAATCATAATTTACATTAACTGATTGTTGTAATAATCAAAAACAGCAGTAAACAGAAACACTAAATTTGATCAGTTGGTTATTTTATGTAATATTAATTTATATAAAATTAATCAATGTAATCACTATTCATAGGTAATCAATTAATGTATAGTACTGTAATATCAAATAATAATAGATCTTTCATTTTTAGATTTAAAATATCTACCTCCGACAATTCATAATAAACAAATGCAAAGTACATTGTCAGTGTAAACATTGATTATGACTCACAATTTTAATCTATATATATTGTGAACCATGGTGTCTGTCCAAGTGTTCATCTTCCTCCCGTTTGAAAAGACGGGAGAACAGGTATGGATAATGCAGAAGCCAAATTTAATTTTTCAAGCAGGATATTCTACACTAAATTGTTAGGAATTATTATTTATATATCAAAATGTGATGTAACTTAAAGACTAAAAATGTAGATTTATCATATGTTAACATGACTGACATGCTTAACAATTACTTTGAGGTGGGCAGTATAAGTACCTCAGATCTGAGTGAAACCAAGAGTGCAACACAATTAACCTTTTAAAGTCCATGAAATAATTTAAACTGATAGATTAACTTAAACGTTTCCCATCACTGGGGATGAGTACTTTTGCTTGTATTTCAATAATAATCACTGACCTGCCGTGAGCCAAAGCAGTTTTTATCAGATGTGATCAAAATTATAACTTTGCATTTACTCTTCTTTATAAATAACAGTACTCATTATACTGCAAATCAAGTCATGTTACAGGATGTTTGAAACTTATGGTGCATTCACTCCTCTTATTTAACAAAAAACACAGTAAGACAATCCTAAACTATACCACAAAGAATTGATGATTAAAAGTAATGGAAAGCCTTACATAATACAAGTAAACATAAACTATCATCCCTACAAAAACGTATACTTGAAGATACTTGTAGCAATGGAAAATAGAAAAATTCTATACTATATCCAGATGAGAATCAAACCTGTCAATTCAAACTTAAACACAAAACTTATTCTTATTTGATCGACACATAGTCATAATAAACCTTAAATTACTTATAATAGGTCCAGCAAAATGTTTATTATACTGCAAGTCTGAATCTTTCTTAAGTTCAAAAATAAGTCGTATCATTTTGTTCAAAAACAGAGAGGAAGTGGACATATATGGAACTAAAAGATGCTATATTAATACTTATCTTCTTCACCCGATTGTTGATAACTCATACTCACTAGCTAACTTATTTTCTGGAATAGAGAACTGTTATGTGATAAAAGTATTATATTTTGATGCTACCATAGCCTGTGGTCTACACAGATACTATCATCAACACCATTTTAATGATTCACTAAAACATAATTTCTTGCCAAATAACTTATATCTATCCACGTTTTTGTTTAGCAAATAATAATAATTTAATAAAATTAATACATATAAATTTAGACTTGAGATTATAATTAAGTGTATCTTAAAATTGTAATTTTTAGTCAAGATAATTGTCCGTTTTTCAGAATTTTTTAGTATGGCACTACACTGACTAAGGTTGAATTGTCTTGTAACACGTATTTTCTCTCCCTTGTTGAGCATTACAACAACATGCTATTGTAATTATACCATGATTACGAGTGTGTCCACATATCTTAACCACAGACAATTCTAAATAACTTCTATTAATGGCTGCATAATTAATACTGAAAATTTAGTTTCTGTGTCACAAATTACAACCTTGTAAAATTAAATACTTCATTTCTAATATGCATGTTATTAGTTCTGTAACTTTGTTTATTAAAGTACTTCTCAGTAACAATCACCTTTAACAAAGTATAATGTTAGACTACATAAGGGTTCCACATGTACAGGCTGTTAATAAATTATGACAGAAAACCTCCTGATTAAACCGGCTTACCCCAAAAACCCAATGGTAAAGCATACAATGTCTTACTCACATAAAACATTTATGCGAATACTTAACAAGTAAATACAAAGTTTAACGTATTGCAAGCTTTGTGTACTGTATACATAAATATTACTTGTATAATACACCGTATAACATCTAGGCATATTTTTCCCATCCTTCATTCCTTGTAAATACAGGGCTCATATAGATCTTGGTAAATCAAATTTCCCAATTTCCAGTCACATTTCTTTGATTTCATATCATATATTGACTACTCATTACAGAGGTATGAGCTGTTCAAAAAACAGCCTCACACACACAAATCTATAAAAAAATTACTGTCCCTTATCTTACGTTTTAATTACACAACTGAAAATAACAAAACTACTTATTAAATCATTTGTTAGGCATACTTACATCAAACTGAATTCAGTGTGGTTAATAAATCAGCTGTCACATTTCTCTACCACCTTTATAAATTTTATACTGCTCCAAAAGAAAAGGAAGACATTGGGAAAATGACAAAAACATCTGTGTACAGGTTGGATACTTGATATTCATTGTTTATAATCCATAATTTGGACATCAATGTCCTAGTCCAGTTTGTGCACCTATTTCTCTTCAGCTCTTTTCTGAAGGCAATTCGACTTTGCAATAAATTTGGAATTTCCTGTTTTCTCATATTATTCAGCAATTTCCTTAGCACTGGTTTGAAATACACCAACCTTTTCTTTGTGTATTCTTTAAGCTTCCTACCTTTTCAAGATTAGACTTTCTTTTCTTCTTTTGTCTTTCTTTATTTTTCTGTTCAGTACTGTATGCACTTTGACATAGCACTTCTTACGGATAACATCATCTGTTTTGTGACCCGAACACTTGCATTCCCCCCTCCACTGATGCCATGTGATCTTTAATCAGATGTCTGACCATGGAACAGCACTAAAACTGTTCTAACCTCTCTTCACGTTAGTGGATGACTTTTGGCTATAGTATTATAGAGAAAAAGTTTGTTCTGTCTTATTTGACACTGATCATTTAGTGTACTCTAAATGAAGTCATTGAAATGTGTCATGTTCTTTATCACAAATGTTTCCTCAACTTATTTAATATCCACAAGATATCAAAGCAGTCTGTGTATTAAAGTGATGCACTGTGATGAAACATTTGTCATGTTGTAAGATTCTATGTTAGCCATATACCTTGTAAACAGGTAGCAGACTGGAAAAATCTCAATCAACTTTTTGCTCAAAACTATCAAGACTGACAGTTTCACTGATCTTTTTTGTGATCAGAATTTTCTCTGTGGGAAATTCAAGATGAACTTCTGTTTGCCTTTCAGTGTCAGTCAAGTCAATGTTGACAAGTTGGGAACAAGTAGTTAGTGCAGCAACGTTCTCATAACTCAATAATCTTTTATTACTTTCAACAAGTCTGCAACCACAAATACAGCCACAGGTTTGTCATTTTGGTAATGTTCAAAAAAGGTTGAATTTGCTTTGTCACTACGAGAGTGAAGTTAAGCTTCACTTCAGTCAGAGGTTCTTAACACCCACTTATGACAATGCCAAATTAATTTGTCTCTGGATTTTTCATTGTCACTGCTTGCACTTAATTCTTAAGATCTAGCAAATTCTGAATCAGCCTTTCAATGACACACACATTTTCAACCCATCTGTGATAAACATACTTCAGAGGAAACGTCACCCTACCTGTCACAGTTGTGTAGTTCTGTCTTTGTGCTGGGGTGCCTTGGAAACGTCACCCTACCTGTCACAGTTGTGTAGTTCTGCCTTTGTGCTGGGGTGCCTTGGAAACGTCACCCTACCTGTCACAGTTGTGTAGTTCTGCCTTTGTGCTGGGGTGCCTTAGAAACGTCACCCTACCTGTCACAGTTGTGTAGTTCTGTCTTTATGCTGGGGTGCCTTGGAAATGTCATCCTACCTGTCACAGTTGTGTAGTTCTGCCTTTCAGATGTGGCATGTACTAATTTGAAAGGATTCTATGTTAGAGCCACATGCTGAAACAGCTATCGTGAAAGCACCACAAACAACAGGGAGTTCATGAACTATCATTCAGCAGACCTTTTCTTGTCTTACGTTCTGTGTCAGTGTGGATATATTCAAGTGCTTTCCATTTAATATTTGGCCCATTTAAGGTAAACTGCAACAGATTATAGTTCCTAAGTTGGCCAATGGTATCTTCAAGATGTGTAGCCAAATTTGCATGTCCCTTGGAAATAGAAGTACTTTGTTTTCATTCCAGAAACTTCACTTGTTTCTGCTGTAGTTTCTCTTTCAATGACTCAAACAAAAGAACATAAAAGTCTATTTTTATGTTATCTGTATGCTGCTGCAGAAAACAATGTCCTAAAACAGCATTAATATATTCAGCAACTTGAGTAACAGTTATAAAATGTCAAATGCCTCAATATTAATGAGTAAACTTCATATAGCAAAATGTCAAGATATGATATAATTCTCATAATAAAACTTTTCGAAAGCATCGTATACTGCCAGATCTACATGCTCACCATTCAGTGACTAGAAACTTACACATTTGGTATTTTCTTTCCTAACACACTGTTAGAAAGAACAACTATTTTAATCATAAAGTACAATGATATGTATACAAGCAGTATATTCAGATGAAACTGAATTAACTTGAGAGCTAAATCAGATAGGTACACTTGATAAAAGGAGTTTGTTCAACTATGAAGTAATGATAAATCTCTTAGTATCTGAGTCGATACTGAACATAACATGTAACACAAAAATGCACAATCATTATTGAAACACTAAACAAAAACACAGTGTATTTACTTGATAACACAATGCACTGTCCCATAAAACATGGGTGTTAGCATTTCCTAATTTTCAGGACTGAAAATATTGACTTGTAACTAAAGTGACTTTATTATAAAACTAGTTTTTATTTCATCACAGCTTAATTACATAAATGCTTGTATTGTCTAATAACCTATGTATCATTACAGTTAGCCAATGATGCAAATGATTTTCTGTTATCGTTTCTCTTTTACTTTTTGAGTGAAATTTAATTTTTCCAAAAATAACATTTTGAAACTGTCTTGAATCCATATTTATTTGTTTCAAAAAACTTATAAATGTGCTGGTTAATAAAAATGTTTTATCTTGTTAAATTTTACTAAGTATCTTACAATTTAACCTTGTAGAGGTTAATACACACCAACTATGTACATTCCAGTTTGTTTCTTATTATCTTTATTCATAAAACAACCTAGCCTTTTACAAAAAAGGAATTTACTTCTACAGATTTTCCACAGAATTTTGAATTGAGAAATTCCCCGATTATTTTACCTGGGCCTTAACTTACAAAATTATTGTATAATCATCTTGACACATGCTGATTATAAATAGAATAGATTATGTAATGTTAGAACACTGGACTAATGCAAATATACAAAAATTTTTGGCCATTGATATTTTGGGATGCATGAGCATAACGGCTATCTATTTTTTGTGGGTGCAATGTACAGACAAGTACAACATTTTGGATTCAAATTATTATTTTTTATAAGTGATTCATGTATAGATATTATGAAAATAATGAATGTTTTCCTGCATTTTCTTGATTTCTTCTAGCACATATATATATGGGAAAAAACTCAAGACAAATGATCGTGATGTCTAATTGCACATAGTGAAACCTATGAAAGAAAAGTCAATCACTGCATAAGAGACCTGTACAACTTTTCTAGTCTAAGATATATGTCCACTTAATTCATAATTAGAAAGACCACATAAGGTGACAAACAATGTAATTGATAAAACAGTTTACTTGGGCCTACCAATTTTGCTTCCAAGTAAGAGACATCCATCGATATGTACCTCTTTCATCACTTCAAGAAATACTGAGACAATAATAACTAAAAAAATAACATGATGTCAAAGACAATTACAAATAACCAGATAACACATGTAATTACCTTATTCGGCTATCTGTGAAAAACGTTGCACATACAAATTAGATAAAACTTTGCAAGAGTAGCTATTGGTATCCTCTATCAAAACGAACAGTTTCCAAGTCCAACGCTCTGTTTACAAGATAGCAGTCAGAAGATTTTAATGTTTCTGTCACTAGAGGGATACAGAAAGTGGTCAGCACCTAGATTTTGTAATATATAATGCTTTGGAAAAGTTTTATTATGATAATTTTGTCATTTCTTGATATTTTACCATAAGAAATTTATTCCTTGAGACATTTGGGATTTCACAGCTCCACTCCCCTAGCAATTTACAGTTCAACAATTTGATAACTTGATGTTAGTGGCCCTAACTGATGTGTTGTCTAGGGTTTTGTTTTTGTCTCTGCAGACTGATTTGAAATAATAACACAAAGTTACACCCAGTTTGAGTAGTACAAGTGATCATGGTGAAGAGCCACCTCACCTGTTGATCCCATAATAATATCTGCAGCTGCAGGTGGTGTTGCTGACATTAATGGTTTTTAAATTGTAATGATTCAAAAAAATTCACAGTATTCAAAGATTTCATGACAGTGTTTTTCATAGTCCCAGTAAATAAACATGCTTCTGGTTTTTACCAATTTTTCACAGCTTCATGTTTGAGAGTTTCATTGTTTTACTACAAAGTTTGCACCTAATTGAAACTCTGTTCCAGCCAGGCATGAAATTTTATAAATTTATTAGCCCAATGCCACATTATGGCCAACATAGCTTTAATTTCGCTCTACTCCTGCATGACCCTATGAACTGCGGGCATGTTATTTTCCCACCAAGTTTTGGGTCTTGTGAGACTTTTGTAGACTCCCAATTGAAGACAAAGATTTAAAAAACATAATAATAATAATTAAAGCTTTGATTTTATAATATACTAGAATACTTATATTATATTCAATACTTCTAGGAAATATATGTTATACCTTAACCTCACATAACTGTTTCAACTATAGTGTCAAAAGGCAAGATATAATCAACCACTTTTCAAGTTTGCTTGGCAATGATGGCATTCTGCATTGCCATTACATTCTTCATAACTGGTCAGCACCTCTCAGGATTTCAGATTCTTCCATTACACTGGGTAAACAGCAATTAATCACAGTGTAATAAAACTGTCACTGATATTTTCTAAAGTTAGCTTTTTTTCTTGTATTATGATCATAATCGTATATGGATCAGTAGTTTATGGTACTTGTATAGTTCCTAAACAATGTGAAGCAGATGTCACTGTAACAAAGGGAGTTTCAAATTCTATGCACTGAGAATATAAAGATTTTAAATTTATACTAAATGTAACGTGAAGCATCTGACAATAAATTATTGACTAATGGTTCTTAGCTCAATAAAGAATTAAAAGAAAAAAAACATCTAAGTTTTCAGGTATTTTATTATAAATCTATTATGACCATTACAATGTTGAATTTTGCACAAGACTACGTCCAGCAACTTTTAAACTTTGCCATCACATTTGTATTTAGATGCATATTAAACATCATGCTATTAACAAGGACTTTACAATATTAAAAATTGTTTATTTCAAAATAAGTAGTTGTATCATCATACATCTCTAAAAAATATTGTAATAATATTTTACTTGCATTGGCACTTCTCTATGTACATGTATCTAATTTTGTGGACTCTTTTAAAAGGGATATTTACCTTACTTTCTAGTGCTTGAAAAACATTGAGGAATTTCCTAGCTTTTACAGTTTTATATGACTCATACTAACCCTGTATGACTCATACTAACCCTGTAAGTATTATAGATATTGTAAGTCTAGTACAAACCTAAGAATTTGAACATGAAAATATGCTTTAAAAATATTGTGGCCTTACCCTCCTGACTGAGAAGGTGGAGTAGTTTTGGTGATTACTGTAGTCTTTCCAAGTTTAGAATCAAGATCAACCTATTAAATACATAAAACATTATATTTACTAAATTTAAACATTCTATAAAACAAAGTTAAGTCATGGAAGAAGTTTAACATCTATTTCCCTTACCTGAAAGTATGGGTAAATTGTTGCATTATATTAATATTGTTTCTGTGAAGAGGTGATTAATCATTGTGAATGTTAGTGTTCTAATTACTAAAGTACAACCTTGAGTAACTATTTCTTTATAACTCACCAAATTTCAAGCCTTGTAATTATATTAATATTGTTTCTGTGAAGAGGTGATTAATCATTGTGAATGTTAGTGTTCTAATTATCAAAGTACAACCTCGAGTAACTATTTCTTTATAACTCACCAAATTTCAAGCCTTGTAATTATATTAAATTGATCCATCAACCTTAAAACAAAAATAATTTAAAACTATTTCAACATATAAATTATAAACTATAAATTATAGTGGAGTTCACTATAATTCCAAAATTCTGTAAAGACAATCACATTACAGAAGTATGTACTTCAAAATGGTACAAGATACTTCCACTTTGATTTTGCTACTTTCTTTTAACACATGCCAAACAGATAAATCCTTCATCTAATACCAGAATTGGCTCCAAGCAGTAGGGGTTGTCAATCAAACAGTCCTCTAATATAAGAAGGTTGAGTGAAATTTATTTTTTATATTAATTAAAGCCCAAATTAGGTCACAAAATATTATTTCAAAGGAAGGATCACTTTAAAAATAGTTAAAAACAATGTATGTTTCTTTCAATTCTAAAGTATAAGGCCCAAAGCAGTCGTCTTGTCCTTGCTTATGCCTAGAAGTTCCTCAACAGTATTTTTTGCAGTGAAAACACATCTATTTTCTATGCCCTACTGAGACTTCAACACAAATTGACTTATGTTAATTTTGAACAGATTATACAAAGTCTTTTTTTAAGGTGAAACTGTGTGTTCCAGTATATTTATATTCATACAAAATTAAACTAATCTCTTAACAGTGATAATCTTTTACACAAGGTACATAAAAAACAACACATTTAATATTTAACAGTTCAAAAATGAAAATGGAGAACACTAACAATCCTGTAAAAATATTCGAACAATACACAAAATATTTTGTTCAAAAAAGAATCCAATTAACATGAGAAAATAATCATAAAAGTCTGTGGCAGTTGAAACAGTTTTAAGTTTTGTTTGGTTACTTGTCCATATATATTTAGTGGAGATTTCTCAGAACAATGAAGGATATACTGGATTATATATTTACTTGATAGATGCAGAAAATGAGATGCCAAATGGGTGTTCACCATTTTAAAGCATTTAATTGCAGAGTATACTTCTACACATTCAAGAACTTTCAATTCCTTATCACCATTCACTGGATGACAGAGCTTCAGAAAATAAGTTTAATTTAAATTAATATGCTTTTCCTTTTATACGTCTTGTTTTTACTAACCTTATAATCTCTAGGTTTTAGAAGCTCCCTTTTAACTGGGGGATTTTTTTCCAAACCAACAATATCATCATCTAGTTCTTCTTCAATTCTTTTCTGTGCCAAATCTTCAAATTCTTTTAGGTCCCACTTACGACGATGGTCATCTGGTCTCTGCAACAAATATTTAAATACACAAATATTTTAGAAACATTAAAAAGTCTAAATTATTCTCAAGATCTCTTGGCAAAAATGTATTAGCCACAAAACCAACATGTATAAATATAATTTAAAAAAAAAATTAAGACAGTAATATATGTAAAAATAATTAAAAGTTCAGAAAAATTCTGAATTTTGTTTATTACAGAAAAGTTTCAAGGAAAATATTGGTTGACCATCAGCATTGTAAATAATGTATTATACATACCACACAAATGTAGTAAATCATGGTATGAATTTACAACTCATAAGATACAAAACTACTACAAGCTCATGCAAAAACAAATTTACCTACTCTATTTTTTCCATTATAGTTTACCAAAAAATCAAGTAAAAACTACCAGTGAAATTGCATGACTAAATCGCCAAGTTTCCAGAATAGACTATTTTTTGTGACATGTAAAGAGTCACAAATGGAGCTGCAATCCTGGCACAGTATGTTACAAAAACTTTTAAATATTTAAAAAAGAAGTGAAATTAAGGGGAAAAATCTTTCTAAATTACAATAACTCCACATGTTTAAACAATAATCCATGCAAGAATTCAATATTTTCCTGATGCAATTTTTTTTTGGTATATAAAAACCAGCCTACATTAGACTTTAATGTTGCAGAAATTAAATAGCTATGAAGGAACAACATTCAGATACAGACCCACATTATCACAGGTTAACCCTTTCGAGACGGGTCACGGGTGAAAGGCCATTTCATCTCTTTTGTTGATTCGCATTCAAAATTTTATTGAACTACAGTTTTATGAATTTATGTCAGTAAGTTTGGTATCAAACTGTAGATTATAATTCAAATTTTAGTATTATACATTATTTAATTTATTTTAGTCATTAATTTAGACATTCGAAATATTTTAGACATGCTACTGAAACACAACACAAATCTGGGTAAACACCATTACACTAATCATTTGTAGATATCTCTAACTAGTGAGTGAAAAGACCATGTTTGATTGTTTGCATTCACACATTTAATTCATGTATTTAACACATTTCAAGATTTACACGTATGAACTGAAATATCTGTATAGTATAGCAATTGTTTAAAAACATGAAAATAACATACAACGTATGTTTGTTTTTCAAAATTGTACAACATGAATAAGTATTTAATGAATGAAAAAACTTCAATAAATAATAGAATATGAAAAACATTTGCAAATTATGAACAGTTTAATAACACAGCAAAAACTATATTATTATTAATTATTCAGATCAGTTAATATTATGACTTTATAAGGGAAACAAAAACTGTACATGTTTTACATGCAATTCTAAACACTGTTTGTCACTTTTCATAGTGAAAGCTACATTTCCTCATGAGAGGATTTTTTAAGCACATGTATGCAACCCATGCAGCAGTTTAGAAAATACAAATAAATTGATAGAAAATTGGGTCCAACTTTTATCATGTTTAAATCACATGATCCATAGAACAGACTACCCAGACACTTGATACATTTACTAACCCATTATGCTACCCTGAGTTCATGATGTAAATATTCTTCCTAAGACTAATTGGTGAAAAATCTATCATAATTGCAGCTTGGAAATGAATGAAATAACAGAAACAGCACGAGGTCTGGATGAGAGGCAGTGAGCTAAGTTCTAGGTGAAGTCAAGTTGAAAATATAGAGAAGTAAAACAGTAATGACTAAAATGAAAGTCATTAGTTACTTGTATAGAAGTTAGTTAAAGCTCATAAAAAAATATTATTATTACATAGCTGAGTTTTATACTTTTGAGAAATCCATTAAAACAATGAAAAAAAGTCAGTCTCCCTTAATGAAGAAAAAAGGTTTAAAATAAGGCACTGATGAGTCACAAGGTATAAGTATACACGTATATTACACTTTTATCAACTTTCCATCCACACAGCATATCCATATTTACCATATTACATACTTTATGAAAACTGGCAAGGAAATTATGTGATACAAGTGTTTAACAAAATGGAATTTCCATAGGCAGACATTCACCTATCATTTGAGGTGCAATACTAATCAAGTTTATTGAGGGGATGCCAAGTGAACTTATATGGTACCACATGGATCTCGGACAGAAATAATTTCTTCCATAATGAGGATAAGAATGATCAGATCAAACTGTATGCTGAAGCAGAGGAAGACACCAAAGTAGTGACAACTTCAGCTGAAAACTCTGCTCCAAGAAAACCTACAGGGTCCATTACAGCCCCAAAAGCTCAACCAGTTAGTATAAACTTCATTCTAGCAAATGATGATAAGCTAGATGTCACTGTAGAGGAATTTCTTCGACTTAATCTTAAAAACACTGTCAACAAAGAAAGACACATTCAACTAATCAGTTATTTTCACATCTGACTAAAATACCCATTTCCAGCTTTTCCTTTTTTTTTTAAAGACATTGTCAAACTACCTTTCTTTCATATAATAGACATCTCCAAGTGCAACAATTTAGGATTAAAATACATTTTTAAACCTAAAATCTTGTACATGAAAATGCATCAGATGCACAATGTAATAAAAAATCCAACAAGTTAAAAGTATAGTTAATACAATTCTTTTAGTTTTACACAACACATTTTCACAAGATTTCCTTACTAAACTAAATAAACTAATTCTTCATAAAATAACTGTCTTTAGATTTTATATGATAAAACTATTAAAGATTATTACCAGTGTGTAATAGAAGATATATCTACATAAATAAATGTCAACATGTATGTGTATCTGTTCCTTATACATTGACACAGTGATATAGAATCACATGAGGAAGATCGTATCTAACTACCAATGTTGTATATTCCTCAACATTAGAATGAACTATGTAACCACTATTGTTCAAACTCTTGAAAACAGTATGTCTTTCTTTTCAGTATTGGAACCTTTGTGTACTTCTATTGCACTTTTAATATTTCTTATGTTAAGAGAAAAAAACAAAAGCACAATTTCCTATCCTTTATTACAAACAAGTTTTTATTTCATCCATACTGGTACTACAGCTAGTAATTCATAAGTCAGTGAAAACAAATTCATGCCAATACTAGAAAAGCATACGACATTGTTTACTATTTGGCAAGAAAATTCTTGATGATACTAGATGATCTCTCTGCAGAGTGTTAACTGACATAACTGATAACCTATAACCACCAATTAATGTCAGGTAAAATAATCAATTAATTGAAATTATGATTGAATGATTGTCATGAAAAGTTACATATCCCTTAATTGAAAATGAAATTCTTAGAGATACTCACCTGCTTACACAGAAAGCTATTTATTTCTTGAAGTTGCACTAATCTCCCCAAGAAATTTGCATGTCACCAGCCTTGTAAAAACTCTCACCTAAACTTTACATGAATATGCACTACTGAATGATGACATACTATGCAGCATAACCCAACACCAAGACTGGGAGCTGGAAGGTCCTCTATCAGTGATGAATGTATCAAACAAGTACACAAATCGTTGCAGAGTAGCCCAAGAAAACTGCTTCAGCATGCTCCAGGAGAACTTACATGCCAAAAACATTCCTACTCCAAGTCATTCACAAACAACTTTTGCCTGCATTCCTACAAATTTCAGTTGGTACAGCACTGCAATTATATGACAGATCAAAGTGAAAGACATTTGCAATGAATCTCCTTGATCACATAGATGAAGACAACACCTTTCTCGCTGTGTACTGTTTAGCAATGAGGCTAAAGTGAATCACAACAATGTCTGCACTAGGACTCAGAAAACCTCCATAATACCACTAACACTTTGCTTGATAATCCAATAGTGAATGTGTGGTGTGGTCTCATGTGTGAAAGGATTATTGGTCCTTACTTTTTAGCTGAGAGCACTATTACCAGGAATGTGTACCTTGACATGGTAGAACAATTTACGTTCACACAACTGGAGGAAATGCAACCACAAATAATCATTCAATAAGATAGTGATCCACCTCACTGAAGTTTGTGGGGATATGTTAAGGATATTGTGTATCGCACACCTATAGCAAACCTCACTGAACTAAAGATCAGGATAGTGATGCTATTGTCACCATAACTGTGAATATGTTGCAGCAAACATGGACAAAACTGAATATCATTTAGACATGCTGACAGCCACTAACAGTGCACATGTAGAAGTCTACTAACATGTACATGAAAACTATTTGAGTTGGGCAAGGAGATGCTAAAAAACTGAATGGTTCTATTTCCTTAATCATTTAATCATTAAATTTTAAAATAGGAAAGATAATCTTGGACAACCCTGTATGTACCTACATCCACTGATCCATTCATGTGACAACATAAACAATAAATCCAATTACAATTTATAAACATACAGTGTGTAGATAAGCAGGCTTCTTAAACCAGTGCCAGGCAATAAGCCTATAAGTATTAAATTAGTACTATTATTTTAACTTCTTACTGTTACTTTATAAATTACAGTTACATAATTTATTAACATTAGTTGTTACACATTGCTTTTCATAATTTGCACAGTATGCTTTGGCTGGGATTTTACATTTACCAAAAGTTGACTCAAATTAAATTAATAATAATAATAATACAAAGTATTAGGTATTAATAAAATACAAATTATTAGGGATAAAAATATTAATATTGGAAATAACTAATAAAAATTGTGTATTAAAAAGTACAGTATAGGCCCTAAGCCTAAGACTGTAAGTTCTAACAAAGTGTAAGAATTACAATTCGAAACATTACTCATTATGTTTAACTTTTTTATAATCAAAATACATTACTTTTTTTTCTTATTCGCTCTTGTCTCCTTTGAAACAAGCTTCCCATGTTAATAAGTAAGATTTTTAAAAAAATTAAACGTTTATTCCTTAATACACTTACACTAAAAGAAGCCATCTTCTTCTACCTGTATAGTACTACATTTTCCAAGTACTAGTTCTTTCTAACCATAGCTATGGCAAGAAGAAACATTTAATAGTGAAAAATAAGCAAGTAAATAGCTATATATATATATATATATATATATA